TTAATAGAATGAATAACTTTGGTCAGAAATTCATTAGAAATGCATCACAAATTCAGAAGCCTGGTCTGGGTTCAGCAGAACTATTAGCGCCACCTAGAAGCAACATACACAAAGATTGTTGACATCAATGGTAATTAGTAGGAAGCTTTGCAGCTGTAATTTTCCAGACACATAATTGTAGAATTTTCTTGAGCATGATCTTCACATACAGATTAACCAGTAGAAGAAGAACTAACAATTAAATCATGGGATTCCTATCAGAGTAAATAGGTAATGTTAATTAATCTGCAAAAAGTTAATTTATAGACTAAATGTATATGTCATCTTTATTTTCAGATGGATGGTCAGGCTGAAAGTTCGTCCAATTTTTGAAAAATCAATTCAGTCTTTGTATAACATGGAAGATTTCACGTATAATCCTATGCTATTAGCCTTCTAATTGTCTAAGTCGTAGTTTATTGTCTGTTAATTTCATTAACCTTCATTGTATTCTGCTGTTTGGAATACAATTGGAAAGTTTGAATGTTTTTTTCATGGGATTCTAAGTAGTAGTTTTTTTTTTTTTTTTTATGAAAAAATATTTTTTTTATTTATTTTATTTATATCTCAAATATTTAGTCCCCATAGCCTCCAATAATATAATTCCTTTAATCAAATGAGGCAAAAAATTAAAAGAGGTAAAAGAAATAGAAGTATGATGAAGTCTATGATGAGTGGCCAAAAGATGTGCAGCTTGATTTCCTTCACGATATATGTGGTGAATGGAAGAAGAGTGATGAAGTAACAAGTCAGCAACACGCAGCAAAACCAAGGAACCTGCTCTAATCCATTGTGCCCGATTAATATGAGTAACTAGATCCAGACAATCCATTTCCACCTGAATGGGTAAAAACCTTTATCAATAAAGCCCCCAAATCAAAGCCTTAAGTTCTGCATCATAAGCTGTCCCGGCATCAATCGGAAAACAAGCGGCAGCAACAAAATTACCCTGGCTGTTTCGGAGGATAGCACCCCCCAGCAACAAAATACCCTGAGCATGTTTCGGAGGATTAGCACCCCCCGCTGCTGAAAATTTGTTGAAAGACACATCAAAATAATTCCAGTTTTATAACAATCTTAGCCGTGTGCCGAATCCAAGTAATAATCATTGGTTTAATTTGTTGGCAAAAGAAAGTCGAAATTGAAGTGGGCAATCATTCTTTTGGCCGGACCCAAGTTGCTGCAAATTTTAATAATCATTGGTTTTAATTTTTGTTGGCCAAAAGAAGTCGAAATGAAGTGGCAATCATCTTTTGCCGACCAAGTTGCTGCAAATCTCTTACCAGAATTGGCAAGGCTCCAGTTTAATAACAACCTACTGATATCTTGTAAAAGTAGGTCTGGAAAGCAAGCTTCATTACCCCAGTGACACTTACAATACATTCTCCACACAGACCATACAATTACCTATGGTACCAAGCGCCTAAGCTTACCCATAGCCGAATCTGGTCTGTCAAAAGCCACCAAAAAATCAACGCTTGCCGCAGAGAATTTTGTGGCCCAAAATTATCTAGGAAAAAAGAGCCGAAATAATTCCAAAGTTTAGCAATGATGGGACAAAAATAAAAAAGGTGGTCAGCAGTTGTCTCCGACTTGAAGCAAAATGGGCACCGGGATGGACCATAAATCCCGAATAATTGAAGACGTCGCGGGATAAGTAAAGCTCCCTTGAGGAGTTTCCATGTAAAAATGGAAAGCTTTAGCAGGAAAGATGAGTCCCAAATAGTGTTGCTTGAAAGGCAAGAAGCTTTGCTTTCTCTAACACTATTGTAGGCTGAAGCAAGAGTAAATTTGTCATTCCTTTTTCCTAGCCACACCACATTATTATCTCCAAAATCAACAAGTGAGCAAGCAAGAGAGTGAAATATGAAATTCCTCTACACATAAATTTTATGAAGAGTTATTTCAAATACTGTGTAAACGAAACTATGATAGTATCTTTTAAGCTATAATAAAAAATGTTACGTTAGGACCTCTTTGTGTTCTTTCTTGGACTCCTCGCACACGTTTCTCATTAATCACTCAAAAAATCTTCTTGATATGGGTTTTTGGTGTTTTACTCTTTCATATATTCTGAGACACAGACTCTTGAGTGCTCTTTGCTGGAAATTTGTTTTACTTGAAAACAAAGAGCGTGTAATTTTTCGTTGGACGAAAGAAGAGGGTAGTTTCGTCAAAAAAAAAACTGATATTAACAAATAACAATAATCTCTCTTGAAATATATACCCTTTTAATTTAGTTAATTATTTTTTTGGAAGATGGTTAATTATTTAATTATACTAAAATTTAAAATATTTACATATTTATTGAAAGATTAGTATGAGATATCATTGATTCAAAGAATGGAATTCAATTAGCATTCAAATAATAACTCTATCTAGTATTTATATGAAAATAATTATGTTTTATATAATTCAAACTAATATAAGTTCAATACTATAAAAATGTAAATACATTATATAAAAATGTAATATTTTCACACTAACAAATAATAAGTTGTAAGGTTTTTAGCTTTTATAAGTAAAATATTGATTTATGTGTAGTTACTGGCTAGAATAATTTTTGAAACAATAATTTTCACATTTTCAACTTGTTAACAAGTGTTTAATTAATATAATTTTACAACTTGAAACTTTTAATAAAAAATTTTTCAAATTAAAATGTTTAATAACTGTAATTATATATTAAAATATTTAATGAGTCAAAATAAAAGAAGATGATGCATAAAATTAAAGCGATAAAGTTTAAAAGTGAAATTATGTATGCTACCAAAATCAAACCACTTTTTCTTTAACATAAATTATGTTGATGGGCCAAGTTGAGTTTGTCATTGTGGTGAGGTCTTGTTGCGGAATCCCGTGGCCCAATGCAATTTTCTGGGCCCAAATGGGATGTCGGGAAGGATCCAACAAATAACTAAAGCGTTACTTTTTTTTTTAATATAATATATTAAGGTTTCATTAAAAATTTCAAATCTATACAAATAATATACAGAGGACACGTGACCCTTTCCCGAAGATTAGAATAAATTATTATCATTAAAACAATTATTTTTCACTGATCTAATCAAAAATTCTAATGAAATTTGGAAGGCGAACTTTAAAAAATTAACAAATTTTAAAAGTGGCAGGTCAGACAAACTCCTTGGATTTTCCGTACATAGTCTAATATTCATTAACTAGTTGTTTATGATGAACATATAGAATTTGAATCACTAAATCCAATCAAAAAAATATATCACATTATCATACTCCAAAAGACAAAGATCATTCTGTATGTAAAAAATTCTTCACAAATTACACATCTATCCAAATAAAACAAAACAAATGCAAAAAATAAAATAAAGACTCTATATAAAATGGAGAGATCATAAACTCCACATAAGATGGAGATAAACCACAAAAAAAAAAAAAAAAAAAAAAAAAAAAAAAGGATGGAGATAAACCACCAAAAAAAAGAAAAAACAAAAAAAAAAAAAAAAAAAAAAAAAAAAAAAAAAAAAAAAAAAAAAACAGCAAAAACATAAATAACTTAGATATATGCCAAATAGACATAAATCTGTAATTTATTTAACAAAAAACATAAAAAAAAAATTGCTACAAAATCAAAAAGAATAGGGAGAGGTTGTCATGAGATGCAAAAATCAGTCCCTCCCTATATTTATATGCTTAGTTTTTGTGTTTAAAATTAACAGGAAACAAAATTCTAACCAAGAAGGGAGAGAGAAAGCAGAAAATTCCTATTACTATGGAGATGCTAATAATCGTAACTAAAGCCTCCCTTTGAACTACTGGTTAAGCCTATAAAGATAGATATCTGTAAATCTATAATATATATAATTATAATATATTACGAAAAAGTAAAAATGATGAGGTAAATATTGAGATTGCTAAAAATGTATCTAATTGAGAAAATAAATGTAATTTAATTTTAATTGATTATATTATTTTTAATATTTATAAATATATTAAAACAACTATAAATTAGAAATACTAATTGAGAAATTTTATCCTATCATACTAATATAATTTCACTTAATGCTCCGTAGCCTTAAAGATAATTGTTGGAATATCCTCCCAAGTCCCACATCGAATAAAAAGGAGAAGAGAAATCAAAATATAATGGTTCAAATCCAACCCATTAGTATGAGGCATTTTGGGAGGTGTCCAAAAATAAAACCGTGAGGCTTTGGTCCAAAGCGGATAATATCATACCAATTCAGGTTGGATGGTATGCGCAGTCCCATCAATAATTACTCTTTAATAGAGATAAGGATAAATTTGAAAGAAAAAAAAAAAATTAATGCTCCTTAGCCTTCTCAAAGCAACAAAAAAAAACAACTTATAGAAAAGGGCACATAAAAATGAACAAATGAGTATATCCTTAAATTAATATTAAATTATCTATATCACTCTATTATTAACTCATATTAAATTGTTTTTAAAAAGAATCAAAATAAAATTCTTTCAACATAAAAATAAGATAATCAAACTTATCAAATTGGCAAATATATATAATAAGGATAAGAATTTTGTTTTGTTTATTTCGTACTTTTTTTTAAGTATTGGGCAAGGGGATTTCAGCATGAATCAATTGTCAGATAGTATATGCATTTATCACTAAATTATATCTTCGTGTGTGTTTATTTTGTATTTGATTAATGGGTGCGGATAGCGTATATTAATATTAATTTATGTTTTCACATTCCAAAATTTATAATTTTTCAAACTTTATTAAAAGGAATATATTATAAATTTTATAATATGAATTTAGAGTAAATATAAACATTAAACCGTAAGAAAAATTAAACCAAATTACTATCTTTTCAATTGACGGTAAATACGTATCCATACAAGAAGCTAACCACTTAGACAAAAATGCCCCTGCAAGGAAATCTCATATCAAAAACAAATAAGATTGTAAAGTGCTTTTATAAGAGAAACGAAGAGCAGCTGATGTCGCGACCTTACTTGAAGGATCAATTCTATAGGATCGTTCATCCGTATCCCTTGGGACAAAGGAGACAGGAACCCGAACCCGTTTGATGAGTGGAAACCGTGCGGTCAGAGCGTGATTAACGGTCTTGATTGGACCGTCGGGTTCAATATGGCTGTTGAGGATCGTACATGGTCTTGCTGATTGGGTTGGACGCATGGTTGTCTGACAGGCTTTAACATTTTTTTTGGCTTAGTTTTTTTAATCCTCCAACGCATTTCCTTAATTTACTTCAATTTTTAAATATTATTTAAAAATTTATTTGAATATTATTATTATTATTTCAAATGATTATATGGAAATATTAATTAGGGACTGCTTAAATTAAAGTTTTAAGTTCCAATTTATGATCATAATCATGATTTGTTTCATAAGATTTTAGCATGGGTATGCCTTAGATTTTAAAGAGTTATATTGAACAATGCTCTGTTGATCCTAAATCAGAATGTTAATCCTAAATTGATATGAAATTTAATTAAATGTCTTGAAAATTTTCTATAATCAATTCCACATTTATTTATTTATATTTGTATATTTTCCTTTTTCATGTTATGCCCATATTGATGTTGATGCAGTGGCATGCTGTTGGAAAAAGGCAAACTTTCAAACAAAAATTTAAATGAATTATTTAATTTAGCACGTCATTTTCACTAATTAATTAGCTAAGTACATGCATTCATTTTAAATAAGACTTGGAGTATTTAATCTTTATGGATAGAGAAAATTTTTATGAGGAATACTTTTCCTTTAAAACAGGGGCAGAGCTATAATGATTATTTTAAGAAAATCAAATGAAATTTTTTCAAAATATTTAGAAAGTCAAGTATAATTTTTTATATTTTGAATGATAAAAATATAAATTTTATTTTACACTCTATATAGCTCCGCCCTTACCTTAAAGGCTTAATGCGATATTAATAAATTATATTCAGTCCAATGGATTAAAACACCCATAGTATAACACCAAAAAGCATGTACATCGATCATAATCTTTTTTTTTTTTTTTTAAGAATTTAAACTGAAAAACAGGTGTCGATTGACAATGGAAAATTGTTATCAGATCATCGATAAAATAAAATAAATTATGTTGATAATTTTTGTTGTTTGCTTAAAAAGAATTAAAAAAAATAAATAGCACATCCAAGAAAATGATCGTCAAAATAATAATGTCTTGCAAATTGGGCAAGCAAGTTTCTTGTGTGAGAGCAAAATTTTCCAAAGTACATGTCATTAAACTCTTCCTCTCTAGTCAAATATATATTTGTTATCTTATCTCACAAAGAACCAAATTTATAATAATTATGTGTTGACCCAACCAAAAGGAGAGTGGGTATTATTGGGGTCTTCTCTTTTATGCATAGGCAAAGAAACTTCAGTTCCTTATATGGAACGGCACTTAATTTTCTATTATTGATTTGCACTTGCACTTTAGCTATAAGATTGCCTCGATGTCACGACCCGATTCCATGGGCCGGACCGGCACCAGGGCCCAGATAAGCTTAAGGCCCCCGAGGCCCGTAGTAAGCCTGAAACACTAAAATTAGCCATCTCAATATAAATTTTAAATATTCAGCCCATATTACAAAAAAAATAAACCTTAAGCTAAGGCCCCCGAAGGCCCGTAGTAAGCTGAAATACTAAAAATTAGCCATCTCAATATAAATTTTAAATTTCAGCCCATAATAACAAAAAAAATAAACTTAAGATTTTAGATTACATCTCGCCCAAATCTATCTTCTAGACAAAATCACAGTTCGGGCCAAATTACAATACACCACAATTCTAATATGGGCTCACAAATTCATTTCGTCTAACGATTAATACACGACTAAATGTAAAGTAAATCTACAACTGCGGATTCACTAACTCATAGATATAACATTAGATTTTTATACATCTAGAGTCATAAGCAAAAATATTTATTGGTCTAGAAAAATTTTCTTTTTAGCTCTGCACGAAAGAACATAGCTTAACCGAATTTAAAGAGAAAACTTATTTCCTGAAAAATTAAACAAGATATGTGAGCTTTCTAAGGAGTAACTATTATTGCACAACACAACAATCATTCACCACAAAAAATGTATAAATATATTTAGTATCAATATAGTCATCCGACTAGTTATATGCTCAACGCAGCAGTCCACAACAAATGGCAATGTCACCAGCACTCAAAAACAATATCAACCTCAAAATAAATCACATAACGGGAAATTAGTCAGTGGCACACCTGAAAACCCCAAGAGCCGTCCTCAACACATGGCTCGCCCTCTCGTACATGTGCACCAGAGAAGCCGATCCCCCATACGGCCAACTGGTCTAATCCTCACTGACCCAGTCCTCTCATTATTTTTTCCAATTCTCTCTTTTTCTTTTTCCATACCGAGACAGGAAGGCAACCCGGTGGTCCTCCATCCAAATCTAGATCATCAAAGTGCTCACAACAAGGAGGTCACCCTGCGGGCTACAATCAAATCTAGATTATCAAGGTGCGCACAACAAGAAAGCCATCCTGTTGGAATTTCCATATAAATCTAATATCATCCAGGTGCACAAGGGGGCCGCCGATCTCCCATTTTTCACCGGCCGACGGTCCCAAGTATCAATAATCGTACTCAGGGATCCATATCACAATACCGTCCTCACAACCCATGGTGAGGTCCACTTTCATCCCCAATTCACACAAAACAAAGCAATAGCAATTTCCACAACACAATTAATTAAACATTGCAATTCAAAATGCAGACGATATTGAATTAGTTGAACATCGTAAATGAAATGCACAAATAGACCATCCATTCCTCATGCAAAATATCTTAAAATAAATAAAATAAAATAAACAAATGGAACAAAAACAATGATGAAATAATACGAATAAAATAAATAAAATAATAAAATAATTGAATAATTCGATGAATAATAATGAAAAAAATAATTAAATAGTTAGAGCACTTATTTAATATTTAATTAGTTTATATTATGTACCAAATTATAGAACTAATCTAAATAAACTTATTAATTATGTTGTTAATTAAAATTAGTCTAAGTTCTATCAAAATTTCGACAGCACCTCCCTTAAAAATTGGACTATCTACCTGTTAAGATAATGTCAATACTCTCCCTGTATTCATTCAATCCACAAACCCATCCATCGGGCAATCAATCAACTCAAATGCCCATCCTCCTTTACATAGCAATACCAATAATTAACGATTATTATTTGCTACTCTTTGCTCAACAACTCACTTTCAAAAAACTTGAACTCATTATTTGCCAAATCTATACCTAAGAAAAGTTTAAGCTTTAATATATTATTAAAAATCTTTAGCTAGATATCATATCTTTGTTCCCATCAAATTAAACATCAACTTACAATCTTAAACAGTCTCTAATCATATTACAATTTAGAGAGCTGAATAATTCGGTAACCATTTAGACGATTCTAGAGTTCTGCTATTTATTACAGAAAAGTTAACTAACTATTAATTGAGACAAACTATCTAATCTTGGCCTACTTAAACTCAAATAGTAACAAATTTGCCACACAGCTGCTGCCACCATGAGAACTCTTCAAGTTTTCCGCTTACGCTTATGATTTATACACTACTTAACTCCATTCCTTATTATAGAATTAATATACAACTTTATTTTCATCAAATCGTTACAAAAATTTATAGGAACACTCAATATTGGGCCATCCTAAAAAAAAATCAGGTTCTTACTCAACCCTTCAATTTCTATAAACTAATTCCTTCATTTATATATTCGTCTAGAAGCTGCCATTATATCAAAGAAACCTTGAGTTATTGATTAAACTCATACATCATATGCTACTTAACCTATTTCCCACCAAGAACTTAATTTAAAACTTTGTTTTTGCATTATACCGCAATAATTGTTCAAGCTAATTAATTAAAAAGGCATGCTGCAATTTCAGGTTTCTCAATTCTTTCGCCATTTCATTTTATAGTTCCACTTAAATGGTACAATCAAGGTTTCTATCATAACATACCAAGAATTCAACCAACGACCAATAATACCTACAATAACGAATAATCATTTCCTTACAAAAACTCATAATAGATTCAATAATCTAACTATTTTGTATGTAAATTCAATTTATAGCTTCCATTTATATTTTTATTTATGATAATGCGCATAATCAGTACTTTTAAAAATCTAACCTCTTCACAAAAACATAATACAGGCTTAAATCCTTCAATTTAGTCGAAATAATTCATAAAACACAAAGAATGGAGCAGGAAATTACTTACTCAGCTGGAAAATGTCGAAAACTTGAAGGTGAGAGCAGATAACGCGACTGTACAGATCGCGAGCCATGATCGCAGCTCCGCCAGCTTGCTGCATCAGCCGGAACGGGAGAGGAGGGAGCACAAAAAAGGAGACCCAAGCTTCTTCGTCGAAAGAGAGAGGCTGGTGTCGTCAAAAAATCGAGGAGCAGGAGGCTCGACGTGACTTTCCTATTAAAGGATGTCGCGGCTCTCCTGCGCTTTCTGCGTACGCCAAAAACGAAAGAAAGGAGAGAAGGGATGCCGGAATCCGCTGCGGCGAGGAGGCGACTGCAAGGTGTGGCACTGGTCTCCAGTGATCGGAAAATGAGAGGAGGAGAGGGCGCTGGCCGCCCAGGAAGGAGAAAGGAAGAAAAAAGGAGAAAAAGGCAAGAAAAAAAAAAAAAAAAAAAAAGAAAAAGAAAGAAGAAAAGACAAGAAAAAGAGAAATCGTGGAGCTTCTAGGACCATTCGGTGCGATTCGACCGTTTGGTCTAATTCAATAATTCCCGGCTCGATGCTTGGTTTTCTAAATCCGATTGATTTATTTATTCTTTTAGTTAGGTTCTAGAAACAGTTCCTCAATTTTACTAATAATAATGAAGAATACTAATAGATTTTTATATTAATTAATTTATATGTAATTACACACATATACATATATATTTTAATAAATTTTAATAATTAGTGCTCCATAGTTACTCTTAAAAATTTCTAAAGGTTCTCCACTCGACAAATATTTAATAATATGATTTGGGCTTGAGCCCAACTCCGTACACTTGGGCTCGAATTAGAATTAAACAGTATTTGCAGTCCAGACATTCGAAAATTCAGATTTTTGATTTAATAAAAGTTCAAAAGTTTCAAAAATAAAAATTAAGGGTGTTTC